GACCATGGCAGAAGCGAAATACTTGCATATCGAAAACAACGGCTTCAAGAAGAAGACCATCAGGTGGTGGATACGGATCGAGTCAAACGCGGCGACTAAGAAGGAGATCGTCACTTCGTCCTGTTCGGTAAACACCACATCATACAGAAACAATGGTGCTATTCATTAAGGGTTTAAAGGAAGATTTTAGGAACTGTCATCCAAGCTGCCTGCTCTTACAAATTTACAATCTGTTCACAAAAATCAGCATGCTCTCAACAAACCTGGATGAACAAGGGCTTAGAGAAAAGCAGAATTCTGAAGAAGCTACAGCACAATACAACATCTTCTTTGCCTTAAGTCAGCCACTCTTACGCCTGAGCGAAAACCATCTCCTTATGTGCATCGCCTTTTTCGGCCACGAGAAAACATTCGATACTGTCGAGCATGGCTTATTGTGTACTGCACTGATGGAACATGTCAACGGCATCCGTTACATCAACTTGATAAAGGAAACAAACTCTGGCTGCTTCACAAACAGCACCCTATTCGACACCGAGCCGATGGACCTTCTCGTAAAGTAGGACCTGAAACAAAGTGACATCATCTCTCCGAACTCCTCATTGGCTGTTTGGAAATGGTATTCTGGAGGATTAACTGAAAGGGCAGGATCAACATAAGTAGTTGACTGCCCAGGCACCTAAAGTTTGTTCATGACGTGGTGCTGTTTGCAGAAAGCACCAGTCAGCTGCATGACATACCACAATAGCTCGACAGAGAAAGTTCAGCTTCAGAAGTGATACGTCGAATCATTCGGTCAAAAACAAAGATATTGCAAACGAATGCCCTTCCAAAGGGATGGGTAATGTTAAAACGGCAAAAAAATGGATGAAGTCCTTAAACACATTTCCTCGAGCGAAGAGACCAACATGGTGCATGATCAAGCTTAAGAGATTCAGCAAAGAAGCAGTGTCAGTTGGCGCACATTCGATTCCCTCCTGACGTTCAGCTTGGCAACATCAGGAAAGAAGCCCATGCCCACCTGCTGAATTTTACCGTCCTGCCGGCAGTATCGTTTGTCATTGAAACGTGGTCACTCACAAAAGCCGAAGAGTGAAAGCTGTCTGTCACCGAGAGAGCCACGGAAAGAAGAATGTTGAGAATGTCGCGGTGATCAGACTGCGACAGGAGTGAGGGGGTTGTCGTCTAAAGCTGAAGGGCGAAGCTACAATGGGGCGGGTACGTGGTTCGGCTCACCGATTGGAGATAGCGATGCTGGTCGACTGGTGTCTTCACCGGCGGGCTAGGTCGCTTGGTCGGCCACTACGACGATTGGAGGTTTTTATCACAAGTCGGGAAGGCCACATTTGGAGGGAAAAAACTCGAAACCTCGCAGAATTACGAGCGTTGCGGCCAACGCGATTGATTAACGATTACTGGCCGTACCTAGTGAAGTGATCCAAGTCGGCAGAGTTTCGTCTCACCCAGTTTGAACCGTATCTATCGTACGACACTGTTAATGTAGTTCTGTTTGTATTGCCAATTTGGGCTGTAATCAAGATGCGTCTGATTTACGGCTTATTTATCGTTCGATGTTTATATTTGTTTAGGCATACTGCTTATTGGGTATGAATACTTTAGGCATGGATATTTTTGATAGTTGTGTCACTGATGAATCCGCTCCATCGATGCAAGGATTTTCTATCACAGTGTTTTGGCAAGTCTTATCATCCGAGTCAACCATGTCTTTGTTATATCAAATACCACTTAATATGTTAGCTGCTTCGTTAAAACGATTTATCCTCGGTTGATTATAGCAGCAATCGCTGCACAAGCTAATAAACTAGACTTGACTTGCTCTAAAGAAACGTATGTCATTATTAGCACCAGTCGTTAATGAATTAGCCACGTCTCTGTCTGTTTCTTTTTGTCGCTGACTGTGTCTCTGTCTTTTTGTATTCGTGTGTGTGGTTCCTCTCACTCTCACTTATGTACATCAGAATTGGAAACGTTGCCTGAATGCGTCAGGTCATCAAGTAATCTACTGTGCGCAGTTACTAACCTGATATCAATAATTACTATGAGTGTGCACTGATCAAATGAGCTAATTTGGTTTATTAAAATGGAACTGCTTAATTTTACGATATTCAAGGCTATTTACTTCGTGCAATCGGACGTAAGAAACTAGTTTGAGGTAGATGGTAATTGTATCTAATAATGTCTTTGCTGGTAGGAACCGTCATTCTCAAACTGGTTAACTTTTCCCTTAAGCTTGCATCAAAGAAGGCAAATGATTCCAAAACCAGATGGATATAAGCTAGAAGTATTTTCACAAGCACTTTAGTTCTTTGGAATTCATCAGGATACAAGTGCGGAGATCAGTCCTTCCACTTTGCACTCTAGAGTAGTTACGACTGAGCTAAATCTGGGATGTCGATCTCCCGTACATTTGATTTATGAACGTAATTGATATACATCATCATCATCGTCATCATCATCATGATGAAGATGATGATGATTGATATACATTTCCTTTCATGAAACGTTTCGCACGACGCTAAGATTTGACATCTTTTCATTAGTTAGGAATATCCTATTGTCCTTTATCAGGGCTGTATTCACACATCTCAGACCATTGCAGCTTCGAGTTTTCTGCTTTCTTGCCAAACAGTGGTATTCATTTATGCACTTTAGAAAAAAGAAAGATGAGCGACCCCTCCGGGTCTCGAACTCGAGACTTCTCGATTTTGAACCTGAAGCTCTAATAATGCGAAATCGCGGGTCCACTTCTGTGGAGCGAGATCGAATCCAAAGGCAGCGAAGATTTTATTTTTGGCCTTGCGCAAGAAATATACTCCACTGTGCGCAGGTGCAGCCAGACAAGAACTGTTAGCAGTCATTGACCCGTGAACAATAAGGAAAGCATACTGTTCTGGTGTGGTAACCCTAGAGCATGAGAGAACGATAGCCATCCTCCCTGAAGCGTACACTTCACATGCGCAATTCGTTGAGATACAGTTCATAGCTTAATGAGAACAGATGGTAATCCGTAAATAAAATTCTAGGTCATCTTTGAACTTAATAAATGGCCTATTTTTCATCATATTCTTCTGTCAGTTCAAGGGATTGCTTTTTTAACCCATTTTCAAGTTATAAAGGTATCTTTTGGATTGAACTTTCTGAGTTTATTTAAAGCAAGTATAATTATCGTCTCGCTGAAATTTAATTTTCAAAACGAAGCGATTATCGTTCAATCCCATCATTACTCTTCGGCATGTAGCCTTAGGTTTTTCAGTAATTTTGGTTCTCTCTTAATTAGGTAAACTGAATGGGCCAGATCCCAAAACTTGCCCGGTCTCAATAAAATTCATCTATATGGTTCTAGTTGACCCTGTGCCACTTTTCATGCGACTTTATTAAGGAAATCTGCTGTACAAGTCGCCCCTCTGATATGCTGGTTATATGTCTAAAGCATTGTAATTGTAACCTCTCGATCGGGAGGAGGAGCGGCATTAGCGGAAATGTCTGAAATTACCATATCTTGAACCTGTGCGAGACTAATCGTTGTAGCAACCCTCCGAAGGACCCTTATTTTTTCCGCTGGTGTTTGGATTGGAATCAAATCCGTCTTATAGGACAATGAAAGATATTCTGAGTTTTGTGCCACCGCTTTAGTTTGAAGTAAAAAGTGTGAATTTCTCCGAAGAATTAATTAGCGAAAGTTTAATAGTATTTGGCAGCTTCTTTGAAAGTAAAGACTGACGTTGGATTTCGAACGCATGGAATCCAACGCTGTCCGCGATAAAGTGGAAAATTTTGCGCTTAACTGCGCGCTTGAAACAGCAAAAGGAGCACAGATTACCTTGCTCTACAGCTAAACGAAGTTTTCTGCAGTATTGGCATTAGGAGATAAAGCTGGACGACGCGTTGTCTGCAATTCCTAAGGTCAGC